CTCCCCCCCCACACCCAATATTCCAGGATTTCTCCTTTTAAATTGTTTCCTTTCTGTTTAGATAACTCTCTCTAGTTATTCTTTTAGGATAGGTCTGCAGGCAACAAATTCCCTTAGTCTACCTTTACAAGAGAATGTTTTGCTTTTTTTATTTTTGAAGGATATGCACATGGGATATAGGAATTTTTGTCAACAATGCTTCCAGCATTTAAAAAATGATGAGCCACTTTCTTCATACCTCCATGTTTTCTGGTGAGAAACTTGCTGTCATTCTCATGTATTTTTTTCCTTAGAGGAAAGCTATTTCTCTCTCTCTCTCTCTCTCTCTCTCTCTCTCTCTCTCTCTCTCTCTCTCTCTCTCTCTCTCTCTTTATTTTTTCTTTCTCTCTTTCTTCCTTTTTTTTCTTTCTTTCTCTTTTTTTGCTACTTTCAAGATCTTTTCACTATTCAGTTTCAGAAATTTAACTTAATGGCATTTCTTTGTGTCTTTTTGACTTGTGTCAAAAAAGACTTTATAATGTGTATTAAAGTACATTTCTTTGAATTTATCTTTTTCAGATATGCCCAACTTCTTGATATAGGTTTGTATCTTTTGCTAAATTTGAAATGTTATCAGCCATTATTTCTAGATCTTGTCTTGCCCGGCCTTCTTTCTCATCTCCTTCCAAAACTTTCATAACACAGACTCTGGGTTATAGTCCCACTAACTCTTGAAGCTCATTCCATTTTAATATTTTTGTCCATTTTCTCTCTGTTGTTCATTCTGGATAATGTTTATTATTGTCTTCACGTTCACCTATTCATTCCTCTTCCTTACATTCTGCTGCAGAGTTCATCCACTATACCTTTTATTTCTATTATTCTATTTCTTGGTTCTAAAAATTCCTTTGTTCTTTATAACTCCCCCACCTTTTAATTTTCTCCAAGAGACTTTACTTCTATTTTGCAGTATTTCAAAATTGTTCATAACTGCTTTATAAAAAAATTGTTAGTTAACAATCCTGATTTTATGTGTAAAACATAATTATTTGACATATGCATTTGGAGTAAAGTTACCTGCACAATGATTATATTTAATAACTATCACTATTTTTTTCTTGTGGTGAGAGCTTTAAATATCTACTCTCAGCAACTTTAAAATATAGATACAGTATTAACTATCATCACCAGGCTATACAGGATTTATTATATTATTAATTTTACAGTGCCAGAGAACAAACACAGGGCTTCATACATACAGTAACCGAAGACTTATCAAGTTGTAACTGGAAGTTTATATTTTTGGACTCATTTCGCCCACCTCCAAGTATCTGCCTCGGGCAATCACCAATCATTCTTTTTATCTCAGAGTTCAGTTTTTATCTGTGAGCTCATATTGGTTGTTTATTTTAGATTTCACATGAGATCACATGGTACTTGTCTTTGTTGGACCATAATTGCTAGCTCGAGCGGGCCCAGTAATGTCTCCATTGGAGACTTTGTTGTTACTGTGTCTGGCATATCGAATACTCTCGGTAGCTTGCAGGGCTCTCCGAGAGGGGCTAAAGTGTCATTATGATAATTATTTCAAAACCCTTACATAATTTTAACATATTTTGCATCTCACTGATGCTATTGACTTTTATTTAAATTCAATTTGAGATATTCCTGATGATTGGCATAAGTGCTTTCATTTGAAACCTGGACATTTTGAGTATAGTATCGGGAGATTGCTGAGATCATTTAAAGCTGTTTTCATTTTTTGTTTTTTTCTGCCACTGTCACAACAAAGGGGAGAGGTGCTACCTTGACATTGCCATACTGAAGTCCAGGTTTATTAAATTTCTCCAATTAACTTCATTATGTTTGGATTCACTTTAGCACCAATTTTAAAACCAGAAATATATATATATATATGTATATGTGTGTAGTTTGTTTATTTTTTCTCATCAAATCATTCCTCTTGAGAATTAAACATATTGAGAACATGAAACTATCATTTCTTTAGTGTAAAATTAATTTAGTGCAAAATTAATTTCCTCATGAACTTGTCTTTTATGTGAGTTCCAGGAACTAGAAGAAAATATATTTCTTGTAAATTTTTTTCATAGAGAATGAGTGAAATAAATTTAAGATTATTTGAGCCAATTCAAAAAGGTTGAAATCAAGAGGACTTCAGTAAAATACAGTAGGAATGAAATATAGCAGGATAAAAAGCCTAATTAAAAATATACAACTTAAGCACTTCAACATTATACTAATTTCTGAGCTATTTAATAATTTGGTTTTAAGAAACTCAAATAAGCATATTTTGGGGCTGGAGTGATAGCATAGCGGGTAGGGCGTTTTCCTTGCACGCGGCCGACCCGGGTTCAATTCCCAGCATCCCATATGGTCCTCTGAGTACCGCCAGGGGTAATTCCTGAGTGCAGGGCCAGGAGTAACCCCTGTGCCTCGCCAGGTGTGACCCAAAAATCCAAAAAAAAGCATATTTTATAAATCAAACAAGTGGTTACTTTACACTTTGTTGAGAACTTAAGTTTCCTTAGAATCAAAATTAAAAGACTTAATTGAAATTAATTTTAAAAGTTTGTTTAGGTACCTAGTAATATTACATAGTTAAAAATACTTAAAATGTGATTAACATGGGAAAGGATATGAGAATTCAGCAGGACATAAATCCTCATAAATTCTTTTCTTCCATTTCAAAATTTCCTTAACATTCTATTTAGCTCGTTCTGTGAGATTTTCTGTCAATCTGCAGGGACATTCCAATGGAAGTTATTAAAATCTCACATTACCAGAATTACCAAGAGAACTAATTATGATATAAAGACTTGTTGTATCATTTTTTTATAAGGACCCGGGGGTCTGGTATTTGGCTTCATACTCTTGTCTACAGATCAGGGTGTGCTTTTTCAAGAAAATGGTTTTCTCTTCAGAAAGTTACTATGATTTCAACAGGGAGAGAACTGGTCTCCTGGTAAGTTTTATGTTGCCTTAAATCCACCATATGGAGAGGGTGTTTTGGTGGAAAGGAGTAACTTTCAAAAATGTTCTTTGTTAAGTTTGTATCGACGCTATACAAAATATTATTTTGTTCAAGCAAAATCTTTATAAATCCAATTAAGGACGGATAAAAGTGTTAATTTTGGGTAGAGTAGAAGTAGAAAATGGGATAGATGTGTAAAATATTTTGTGAACCTTTTAGATTTTAGAGCCCAGTTTAAAAAAAACCTTGAGAGAAACCAATTAAGTTCACTAGATTAGAAACCGAAAGACTTATCATCCCAGTCCTGCTATTAGCAAGTTGTATTATGGAAGTCTGTGGATCCAAATTTCTTCATCTGTGACATAAGGTGTTTGAAATACTTAAGTTCAAATATTTGAGGGAACCATTAAAAATATAAGTCTCCAAACTTTGGTGCTTTGTTCTTTGTTCTCTCCTGCAAAATAAGATGCTCACTGATGGGTAAAAATTGCATGCCTATATTGAAAGTTCTATTTGATTTCTTTGACCTTAACATTTTAATAGATTTAAAAGAAACTTGCAATGTAAATATAAAATATAGATTTTCTCTAAGCTACTTCAATACGCCTTTCTAAGTTCTCTTCAGTCAGTATTATTTCATTGATCCATTCAGCAAATAGTCTATGGCTATCTGATAGACAATAAGGTAAATACAAGCAAACAAAACTATAGAATGAACTGCCTTTTATCATTGATCATCGTTGTTCTCTTCCTTTGGAAAAGTGAGAGGGACAGTATGCAGTTTGAGTGGTTCCTAGGTGTGTGTGGGGTGTGTATGTGGGGGGGGGGCGAAAAGACCAAATAATGTCCAGGACTGTAAAGGCATTCTAACAATGACTCCCCCTCGCCCCCACATAACCCTTTTGTATTGCTATATTATTTGCAAATGATAGAGATGGTGCTTCAAAGGGACATATAAAACTACATTAAACACACTCATTTAGAAAGAAGTATAAAAATTATAAAACCCTTCAAGAATAACTGTAGTACTTAATTTCTTGATCAACTTGGACAGCGTATTGTTCCATAGGTATAAAAGGCTTTGTTTTCTTGATAACGCCCGTGCAGCAACTAAACATGAAGGTGCTTCCATTGTCATTCAACCTCACCAACGGAATTCTACTTGATTAATTCTGGATTACCGGTGGCCGCTTGAAATGGATTGGGGCCAAACGAAGGAAGAGTTGGTTGAAGGTATCAAAAGAGGCTCTTTGAGGGTTTAGAAGGCAACTGTGCAAGGCCCATTACCTCTAGGCTTAAGCCCACATTCCTTTACAGGAACACAAAGCCACACAGGCTTTGGGCATCTCCCTTTGTCTTTTTTTTCTCTTTTCAAGTCTGGGGAGAGCTCCCAGCTCCCCTCTTGCAAACGCACCCCACCCCATCCACCTTGGAGAGGCCCGCACTCCAAGGTGGGTGGGCTTGTCCAACCCTTCTCGACTTGCCCCCTGGCACCCCTCTCGTAGAGCCACCCAACTGTTGACTGTGCTCAAGACCCACCACCATCATCCACCCCACCCCCCCTTACCCCGCCCCAGTGCCATCTTCCAGGAACTGGCCTCTCCATGAGGGCCCGCCCCTCTTCGGAGAGCACCCAATGGGTGGAGCCGGGGCCGCGGTGGGAGGGGCCTGAGGCGGGCCCATTTAAAGAAAGGCAGAGGGCGAAAGGAGGCAAAGAGAGGAGAAGAAAGAGAAACCAGGGGGGCGAGGTGCCGTCCAATGACAAAGCCCAGGGGTGGGCGCCGGCCGCCATCTTGTACCGGGCGGCAGGCTCTTCGCCCGCGTCCTCCGCCCTCGGAGGGGGAGGGGCGGCGGCGGAGGCGAGAAAAGTAGCGAGAGCCGCGCCGGGCGGGAGGCGTCAGCGGCGGCAGCAGCAGCAGCGGCGGCGGCGGCGGCGGCAGCGGCAGCGGCGGCCGCCGCCGCGGAGCCGAACGCGGCTGGGGACGACGACGGCGACGGCGGCGGCGGGGGCGCCGGCGGCGCCGGCGGCGGCAGCGGGACCCGGCGAGCGCGAGCGGCCTCCGATGCGGCGCAGCGTGAAGAGGCGGCGGCGCCGGCCCCCGGCGGCTCCGGCCCCGGCCGCCCGGGGCGGCGGCGGCGGCGGCGGCGGCGGCTTGGGGGCCGGACTGGAGGCGCGGGAGGAGAAGGTGGTGTACTCGCGGTCGCAACTGTCGCTGGCCGACAGCACCAAGGCGCTGGGCGACGCCTTCAAGCTCTTCATGCCCCGCAGCACGGAGTTCATGAGCTCGGACGCGGAGCTCTGGAGCTTCCTCTGCAGCCTCAAGCACCAGTTCTCCCCGCACATCCTGCGCAGCAAGGACGTCTACGGCTACTCCTCCTGCCGGGCCCTGGTGCCCGACCCCCCGCTGGCCCCGACCACCCGCGGCCCGACGCGCAGGCCGGCGCAGAGCGCGGCGGCCACCAGGAGGAGGCGCCGTGGAGGCCGGGCGGCCGCCGCCCGCAGCAGGAAGCCTAAGCCGTCGCCGTTGCCGTCGCCGCTGCCGCCGCCGCCGCCGCCACCACCGTCGTCGTCGTCGTCGTCGTCGTCGTTGCTGTGGTCGCCGTCGGCGTTGCCGCCGCCGCCGCCCTGTGAGGAGCGCGGCCCCGTCGTCCGGGCCCCGGCGCCCAGCTTCGGGGGCCGCACCCTGGAGGAGATCTGGAGGGCGGCCACCCCGACGCTCACCACCTTCCCCACCATCCGCGTCGGCGGCGACGTGTGGAGCGAGCGCAGCCTGGCGGCGGCGCGCCACCGAGCGCGCCAAGTCCTGCGAGTGAACCTGGAACCCGTGGTGAGGCTCCGCCGCTTCCCGGTACCCCGGGCCTGACGGGGCGGGCCGTGCCCCCGCGGTGCCCTCTGACCCCGGGACGGAGCTTCCGCCTTGGAGGGAGATGGACAAGTGTCAGTCGAGTGTTTACAGATGCGGCCAGGACACCACCACCACCACCGCCCCCGCCCCCTCCCGCCCCCCTTAGTGCACTTTAAGGGCGAAGAAAGTCACCGGACCGGGTCTTTGCCCCGTGCCCTGCGCCCTCCCTGCCGGGATGCAGCCGCCTGGGACTCCGGGGGGCCGGCCAGGTGCGCGCCCCCCCCTCCCGCCCCCGATCAAGCTGAGCTCCCGGCGCTGCCCGGGCTGCAGAGGAAGGAGACTGCGAGACCCAGCCAACAGCCCCCCCCCGGAAGCCCACCTCCCAGGGAGGACCCTTCTCTTCTTAACCCCAGATTGAGACTTCTCTCCAGGACTCTTTATGGGCAGATCCGTTTTCTCCCCTTTTGGACTCTACCTCACTGGTTTGGAAGTCCTCCGAAGTCATTATTTTTTTCCAAAGGAATTTGGTTTCGCGCTCGTGTAATAAAGCCAGAATTTGGGTTTTTTTTGTTTCTTATTTTTTGTTTTTTTTTTTTCATTGCCTCGCTCCCGCTTCCCCCCCTCCACCCCCGAACACGATCCTGCCCCAATCCGTATCCTTTTACCCCCACCCCCTTGACCCTCCCCCTCCCCCACGCCCCCATCTCCCATTGACTGCCACCCCTCTTTTTTCTGGACGAAAAGCTCTAACATGTGTTGTGGCGTTGCACTCGTTTGTGCTCAGGGTATTCTGAATCCCACGCGTTTCCTAATTTCAACTGGATTCCAAAGCTTTTGACCAAGGAGATTTTCCAAGAGATGCAAGCTTCTGACTGTTCATAGGGCAAGGATTTGGATGGCTCTGAGTTTCGTGGGCTCGGTGACGGGAGACAAAAAGTTGCAAAGTAAAACTGTTAAAAAAATTTTTTTAAAAAGGAGTTTTTTCAAGGTTTTATACCGAGATTTAATGTTTATATTTGCTGAGCACCTAAAGGAACTAGAAACTTAAAGTTTTGTTTAGGAAAAGTTGACTTGTTGATTTCTTTCTAATTGAATAAAAATTAAAGTGTGTTGAAAACCCCATGGCTTGTGATAAAAACAAAAACCAACATGAGTGAATTAGAACTGATGTTGGTTAAAGAGGTGGGTTAAAGAGGTGGGTGGGAATCTTGATATTTGACCTCATTGTATGGTCTAATATACAAACCCAGCAATATTTCAATATTTTAAGATGAGAGTCACATAAGAGAAATAAATGACTGTAATCTCCCTGATTCAAATGATTAACAGAATACCCATTGGAATTCTCAGAACTCTTAGCGACCTAGAGAAGTGGGGACATTTGTTGGTATCAAATGACTGGCTGAAGTTAGAGTAGGGGAAATAGATCTCTCTTCTTTGTTTTTATTTTTGTTGTTGGAAAACAAAAAATGTCTAGAATCATATCCGTCACTTTTATAAACATCATGACAATTGGTTGGCTTTGGTCTATGAGTTTTTTATCTCATGTCCATTAATAATTGTGTTCAGAGGTCTTTGACAGCTGCAGACCTCCAGAATTAAATAGGCAAGCCACAGAGTGCTGACCCTTACTTAGAATAGTGTTTATATCACATGGCCCAGTGTGGAATTCTTGATTATCCAAGTGCCTTTGGTCATTGGTGGCAGCAGGACTTACAGTTTTTAGCCAGTGGTGCCACAAGCCAGATATTACTGCAATATCTAAAGGGTCAAGTAGTGTTTTTGTACCACTATTATTTCAAATTTATGTATTCTGTCACAGAAGGATCCATACCGGGCTGGAACCTGACATAAGAAATCCTTAATATTAAGGCATATCTCTGCTTAGCAGCTTCTTAGGAGAATGAGAGTTTGCAAGCTAGACTCTTGTATTCTTAAAATTCAAATAGCATAATTTTCTGAAATGACTTTTCCAAATAGTCCATAATAGGGGTTCTGTGACTTCAATTTCAGTGTTGTTTTTGTAAAAAAAAAACAAAAAAAACCTATATACATATTTGTGACTTTATGCCAGTTTCTCATCAGCCTCATATACTTTTATTCACTACTCAGTAATGCATTGTGTAAATTACTGACCTGAGTAAATAAAAGTGAGTGATTCATTAGAAGATGGAGAGTGTTAAATTATGTTTGTGTGATAGCAAACCTAGATATATTTGGTTTTTAGCTTCCATTACCATTAATAGTTCAGACACATAGGGTTTTCTTCCCCCAAGATTGTTAACGTCTATAGCTAACTAGCACCTGAGAGGAAGAAATATGTATTTGTATCACTTTGGTATTGTATATAGTTTTATAATTAGAAAATGAATCCAATGGCCATATTAGAATGTAATTTCAACATAACTTATCTAGTTTCCCAGAGGACTTTCGAAATTAGACATAGCTGGGAAAACAACTTTGCTCAGCACAGAAGTGAAACAACCATTCACACCATCCATTTATTTTTATATTCTCAGTATGGTCTTTCCTCTCTTGTCTTGTTACTTTATTGCCCTGAAATTCCATTAAATGCAGTTTTGGATTATCTGGGTTGTGTGATTTAAGTTTGGATCTGATTTTCCATCCTCAATTCAATGTGTTACTTACCTGGTCTATTAAAAAAAATCATGCCGTTTCTAGTTTGTGAAATAAGTAAACAAACAACCCCCCCCCCCTTTATTTTTTATGAGTTCTCCTTAGCAAAACCTCTTACATTTCTAAAATGTGAAGAACAGCTAATAGAGTTGAGTAGTCTATTGATAGGAAAGTGAAAGTATGTGATGGATACTTTGGGGCAGAATATGAAAAGGAACTTGGCACAATGGCTTGTGTGATGAGGCATCCATTTACTGTCCTCTAAAGTGAGTCTGTAGCTTAGCTTGTATATAGTATTTTAATAAGAAGTTCCATGATCTTTATTTGTTCTCTTACCTTCTCTTATATCTTATATGGCACAAATAAAGGGAGAAGCTAGGAGAAAATTTTATCATCTTGCTATGCTTTATTTAATTTTTAATTCTTGAGTGCCTAAATGTGGTGACTGGCACCTCAAAAAACCTTTTGAAATTCTTGATGTCATTTTTATCTTCCTTACTGTCAACCAGCAACTTATTTTTTCTTACTAGAACAAGTAATATCATAATTGTTGAGGGCAAGCTTCATTGTTGATAGTGTGAAGTGTCACTGTTGTGGTGTGTATTTATTTTGTCCAAGTTTGAGTAGCTTATTCAACAAGTGTAACTTAAATTAGTGGCCATTACATACTGATTTGCTCTGTGCAAATGATAATTGTTTTTCTGAAAACTCTTCAACAAAAAATAAATGTTAAAATAACTTGGACATAAAACATCTTAGCAATTTTGAGCTCGACTTTTGGTTGTTTTAAGGATTGCCACAGCACTCTTTGAAATGATGTTTTTTTGATGGACATATAAACATTATTTACTTTATTAGTGTGTTTAAAGTATTTTTTGATAGACTGTTATGTCTTAAGTGCATTAGAAAGCAATTGTTTGTATTGGAATCGGATTGTTTTCTTGGGCAGTTTGATGTGCATATGATGAAGATTTACAATCTGGTTGTACTTTGCTTTTTAACTTATTAACTGTAAATAAATTTTAAAGAATACACATTGTCTCTTTCCTAATGAGGTTGAATCTTTTTGAGATGGAATTTTATATTTGCATGTGAATTAAGAAGCAATGTACTTACAGCATGATGCATTTTGACTTTCTGACCAATCATACTTTGTATATCTTTGTGTTTTGTCCTATCTTGGGAGTTTATGTTACAATTCTTTAAATTATCTAGTAAAACTCTCCAAAACAATGCTTCAAGCTAACCTTAAGCAATCAAGCAATTTACCAGCAATGCTTTAAAAGTATCAAAACTCAATTTTGAGTCCTGTTGCCAAGTTTCCTTAGTGGTGGATTAAAGGTCCAAAGTTTTTTGTTTTTTTTTTAATATAGTGAAAGTTAATGCTCCTAGGAGAAGTAGCAGTAAAGACTTACCCCAGAATCAGAGAAGAGCCAGATTTCGTTATAGTCAAGGGTAGGATTCCCGATACAGTCTGGCCTAAATTTGTGTTTTTACCCATGTTCCTGTGGATAATGGAGATAGGGTCAGGGTATGACGTAAATCAGTGTCTAAGAATGGAATTAAGTCTTCACAACTTGCACCTGTTACAACATCAGGCAAATTATGTAAACTGTGCCTTAGCTTCTTCTGGCACTATGTGTGACCAGCCAAACAAAAAAGGGATACTAATGGTGGACACAGGAAAAATGGAAGCAATCCTACTTGAGGGTAGTGTGAATAAGTATGTGAAAGGCATGAAAATAAGTATACTTAGTTTGTCCTGCGAAAACTAAGGACAAGAGAATGCAGTTTATAGCTGAGATAAGTTAAAGACAGAGAAATCTACAGCAGCATTCTTCAACCTTTTAAACCACCACAACTTGTCTGCATGCCAGGGTCCAGAAACCAAGAGTTACAGCCACGACTGTATACCAATGGTTTTGACCTTTCCATACCTGCAGACCAAAAGTGGTCCATGGACGGGGGGGTGTGGACCACTGCTCTACAGTATGTAGATGGCTCAGAATATTAGTAGGAAATGGGATAAGGTGATTTAGTAGACGTTTTCCCTGTTGAGATTTTCCTTCACTTTCTTAAATCGGGGGGCAGAGCTGTCTATCATAATGATATAAACTAAAATTATTTAAAATGTGGCATCACAGGTTCTAAATCATTTTTTAGAGTTTAGAAAAGTAGTAAAGTTGTTGATCTTAGAACTTGCAAAATTTGCACACTAAGTTTCACCTGCAGTAAGATAAGGGTTGCATTAAGATTCATGTTAATTTATGTGTACTGGACTAACTAGAGTATTCGTACTCGAAATGAAAATTGTACTTCCTGTGCTAAAGAAGACAAATGAGGACTATATTATAAAATAAGATATGTATTGGAAGCATCCGCAAGCTCATCTTTAGAATTTTGGGATTAAAGTCTTTAATTTAGCACAAATTCCTTATATATGCAGAAGAATAACAATGTATTCTAACTTGTGGAGCAGAATATAGTTATAGCCAAAGTTACAGCATCTGAAGTTGATATAAAATGATTTGCTTAGGTAGAAGTTATCTAATGGGGAGC